AAAATGTGATAAACGCTTTTTGGCAACCACTTAGTTTTTGGCGGTAATTTTAAACCAGACAAAACTCCCCATTGTCAAATGTGCCCCGCTCTCCCCTATGTATAGAAAGTTATCATATCCAGTTTTTTTGCAAATAATCAATCATTTGTCACTAAATGTCAAAAATAAAATTCTTGTTTCGAGGGTAATCGTACACAACATTCATTTTTCCATATAAATTCACATTCTAACAAGACCAATAAAACCTTACATCGAAAACGATCCAAAAAATCCGGATTTCCAATATCTGTCGGATTTTATATATATGATTCAAAGAGCAAGCAGTTTTTCTGACTTTTAGTTTGATTTAGTACATACTATTTGTTGGAGAAAATAACATGATTGTATAAATATATTCATGAGAATTTTATTCCATGTTAAACGTTTGTTTGTCCTATTGGGAATATGTTCAATATATTTTAGGAATAAATTAAATTAGGATACGAAAGTTGTCAGTTTGGACATTTTTAATAAATAAATGTTAAGAGACGGTTATACGAAAACGGAGTAATTGCGAAAGACATTGGCATTATGCGAAAAGAAGCAACACGCCTTTTACTTACGAAAGATCGAAATATAGTTGGTAATCCACCTCATAAGCTATTATAAAAAGAAAACTTTATAATTATCTGATAAAATCTTTAAAAATAAGAAAAATTACTACTATTAATATCGTATAGTAAGACTGACATTGTCAAAATTCTTCGTCAATATCCCAACAAATGAATGCAAACATCAGTTTGTTGAAATCGCTGTTTCACCGATGCGACCTCGAACACATTGTGTTGGATTCGGTTTATTTGTGGTTGACCGTTCAAATACATAACATTTGACACTTTGGATTAAAATTTGTTTTTATAATTTTATTTTGAATGTACCTATATACCTTAATTTAAAAGTATGTTTTCCAAATAGCCTATTTTGCATTTTTTTCCCACAATATACCAATTAAATAATTAATTAACTGCTTAATTCTGCTTATATCCCGAATCGAGCTGTTAGTTGTCACATCTAATCGGAAAAATCATACATGAAACTGATGAATTGGTGTTGTTGCATCGATTCCAGCAACGTTGGATAAAAATTCAACATTGATAGATTGATGAAAAAAAATGACAGGAAGATACCGCACGTTGCTAGGATCCGATTACAATAAGAAGAACACCGCTACGTCATAATTATTATTGCAAATTTTAAATATATATCTTATATAACCAACAGTAAATAAAGAATATGTGAGTTATTTCGTATAGAAATATTATTCCTACATTCTTATAATATTACCACGCCACTAAACCCCCAGTAGGCGGCGATAGCTAACGAATTAGTCCGCCAATTTATGATGTAGCTGTGTTCATCTTCAGGGGTGGGAAACTGGTATGCGCAGGCCTGGGATCAATCAACCACGTCCGCGTGGCGCTGCAGTCGGGTGGTGGGGTAGGTGGTGGGAGTGTAAATGACAGGTGAATATTGATTTTTGTGGGGGTGTCATGGCGTCTTGGCTTAAACCAAACGTAAACTTTGTTTATTTATATTGGTGACTGTTGTATTCAGTTGTTTTCATTTCCAATTTGCTTAATTGATTTAGTTGACCACTGTTAATAAGCTTGTTTTTCCATTATAAATTTGTGCTTTTTCCGCTGTTATTTTGTGGTTTTTCATAAAGATGCGTAATTATAGAAAATGTGTACCGAATTGCCTTATTGTGGACAAAAAGATGCATCGCCTGCCTCACCCTACGAATTCATCCGATTTATTTGATATTTGTGCACTTGCTGTTCGTTGTCCAAGATTTAATAATAAAACAAGACTACAAATTTATTCCACCTTTGTAGTATGTCATAAACATTTTGAAGAGAAGTATAAAGTAGTTGGCTCTCGTCGAGGTCTAACACCTGAAGCATTTCCAACGCTATTCCTACCAGCAGTTCCTGGAAGAGTAGCGGATGGACTTTCCTCAAATAACGTAGAAATTGAATATGTTGATCAAACACCTTCTACTTCAAGTAAAGGTTCGAAGAAGAAGCAGACTAATAATATATGTTGGACTTCTTTTCGAGAAGGAAAGTTAGTAATCTACTCATTTATTTTATACTTATACTGTGTATTTTCTGTTTCATGACATTTGGGGTTTTAAAGCTGTATCGTAGAAGAAGAAGAAGCAGACTAATAATATATGTTGGACTTCTTTTCGAGAAGGAAAGTTAGTACTTATTTATTTTATACTTATTGCTCTGTTTGAGAATCCACATCAGATGCATTTTTTACATCTCGAGCGTTTTTTTATCCACATACCTATATATAAAACGTTTATTTAGTCAAAAAAACTATTTTTTACATGTCAATACATCTTCACGTTTAAAATATAAAAAATACATAAATATAGAATCAACATACATTTAAAATGCAATAAAAAATACATAAGATACAGTACACTTACATGTCAAGTATACAAAACAATAAAAGAACAAGAAAGAGAAAAAAAACGTCAATAGGTGAACAGGTATTCATGCAGTTTTATTTTAAATATTGCCACATTTGAAGAACATTTAATATCCTCAGGCAAATTATTAAAAGCCTGTACACCTTTAAAAAACACTGAATTTTGTGTACATTTTTCTTGTTACCTGTTTAGGTTCATGAACATCCTGATTATAACTTAAAATATTTTGTAAATATACTCTGGAGATTCCTGATTTAATTTTAAATATAAAAAGCAGGGAATAGAATAGCAAATATTTTTTAACAGTCAACCACTGAAGCACATTCAACATGGAATTGATTGGTTCCAATCTCGAACAGCTCAGTATTACCCTCAGACCTCTATTCTGCAACTTTTGCAATCATTGCAACTCATACTGGTTGAGCAAATACAGTATAGTGGCACAATAATAAAAATAAGGTAATATTAAGAGTATTATAAATTATCATTTTAGTCCATTTGCCGAGATGTGGAGAACAGCGCCTCAAATAGTTTATTTTAAATCGGACACATCTGTCCCATTACATTTACGTAAATTGAATCACGTGATCAAAGATTTACTACATCTCAGTTGCATCCGATGTGGATTCTTAAACGCTGCATATACTGTGAAATTTGTGTTTCATGACGTTTGGGGTTGCAAAGCTGTATCGTAGATGTTGGACTTATTAAAAAATAAAGTGTTCCTCGGACTTATAATTTTTTATTAATACATTTATTTTAATGAGATTGTACTTATACTGTCTTTCTTTTTTCACAGCTAAAGTTCTTCACAAAATGATGGACAGTGTTGTATCCTGGAATATGTAGCAGCCATCCAGCTACTTCATACATAATACAATTTTCATATACATTACATTTTTTAAATATTGGATTTGTATTATATATATTCTTTAATAAATTTATTTTTTGAATATTCTTGTTTTTTTATCTAAAAACTGTTAGCCAAAAGATTTGTTCACACAAACTGCATTTTTGCTTTATTATAGCGATATTCGCTATAATAAAGCAAAAATGCAATTTGTGTGAACAAATCTTAATTTGGCTAACAGTTTTTAATGCGGATAATTTTTACTGTCAAATTTGAATAGCCCCGCGCTTTTCTTCTCTTCTTCTTTTTATTATTTTCTCTTCTTATGGCCTCTTACCAGACAAGGACTTAATTGAAAAAAAATCAACCACGTCCACCAGGTGCCGCTAAAAACTCTATCATCCTTTTTTAACATGGGAATTACCGTTCTAAGAGTAAGTGTTCTGTGTTCATCTTATTGTAATCGTACCCTACAACAGGAGTAGACTAATTTTGATAGATCGTTTGCTCAGGTTTCTCTAGAGTTATTCTGATTTACCCAAAATTTCTGAACGGTAACGAAAGTAAAAATGTTAACGAATTTAAAAATTAAAGTTTTTTACAGTTATTTATAGACATTTTACAGATGTTCCTCGCTTCTCGTTGTTACTCATGTCTCGTGTATGTTTTTACTGGATTTTTGTTTCCGGGGATTTTGTCGCCGGGATTTTGGTTTCCGGGGATTTTGGCCGGGCATTTTGTCGCGGGGATTTTGTCGGCGGGGGTTTTTTCGCTGGGGATTCTGCGTCGGGGATTATGCCGGTAACCCTAAAAATATTATATTTTAGGTTTACTTTGTACCCTATGACAATCTAGAGATTTTAGAAGCAAAAGTAAATACTACAGACTTGTATAAAGAAGAATATAGAACACCTGAAATTTTATAAAAAAGTGAATCTATTGCCTCGGAACATGGCACGTCTATATGGAAAAAAACATAAAATTCAAGCAATTTATTCTTTTCTACAGGCTTAAATGTATCTGGAAATCTAACCATCAGTTCAAGTACAAACCCAGAAGAAAAGTTGAGAGAAATCACAGATGATGCTCTTGAGTATATAGCAGCGAATATCTTGGTATAAAACATGATTTTTTTTTATAAAATCTGTTTACCTAACTTGGAAATCCATAATCAAGCATAAAATTTGTAAAATTAAAAAAAAATTAATACAAACATTGGTTGTTTTACTTAAATCAACAAAGTAAGACAGACAGAGTAAGTGCAACGATTTAAACTTGGGCATATTTTTTAAATTCTGTATCATTTCCTTTAATAATAGTTGAACAAGTAGGTCAATATCTTTTTTATTCAATATGTTGTAGAAAAGTTAAATATTTTTGTGTAAAAATATCATTTATCCTCTTCTAATAAATTGTCATATATTTATGTTACATTACACAGTGAATGCTGACAATTCGGTTTCTGTGTAATAGTTCTTTGGCGTTAATGGTTGAAAATAAAACACACTCTATAACGAGAAAGCGGTATTATAATTTAAAAAATATATATTTATTTTTAGACTTTTGGCGACGGTACCCATTAAAAATAATAAAGACTAAAATAAAAATAATGACACGTGTTTTAATAAGGCTCTATATATTATAAATACCTCATTTAAAAAACAAATAATTATTATCAAAAAATATTGCAAGTCAGTATTCGCAGAAAGAAAAATAAATAAATTGTAGTCATGAAAATTTTAATATTTTTTGGGTTAATTTTGACAGCAGTAAAAGTAAGTAAATGTAGTTGTATTTTCTTTTTCTTCTAGTTTAGTTTATGTACAGGTCTATTTTATATATCTCTTATTTTGAAAAACGAACAAATTACCTACATCTTTTGAAGCAAACCACTACTAGTGCCAAGTTGAGTTAACGGTTTAAAAAATTCTGTAACGTTTAGGTATTTGCTTTTTTGATAATTTAACATGTTGTATAATAATCAGTGTCGCCCACTTGAAATTAAACAGCCCCTTTAAATTCTCTATTTTTTTAACAGATTCCAAGAATGTTTTTTAATAATATAAAGAATCAAAGGATTTATTGTAACACAAAGTTCCAAATATGTCTTTTTTCTTTATTTTTCTTTCTGGCCTTTACTGTTAATTAAACATAGAGTTATTCTTGTAATATGATCTTGTTTTTTATCTATTTTTATAGTGTTTTAAGCTCTATGATTTTGGGGAGTGGGTCAGGTTATTAAACAACTCGTATTACTTTGAAAAAGAATGTTGAGCGCCACTATATTTAAAACTTACTATCGAGTAGTGATAAAATATAGAAAATCACTAACCATTTAGATATGATAATTAAATAAGGTATTAGATAAGGTAGCGACAAATTCTAATTCACAGAGACTTACTTATTTAAATTTAAATGATTTATTGAAAACTTATCTGTGGTATAACAGGTAGCAGGCACAGGGGATTCGTATGATAGGCTTGGATATCACCAACTGATAATTCTTCTTAGGTAAAGTTAAATCTCGTACACTTCTTTGGATGGCTCGAACTAAACCTCTTGAAATACTTGAAACAACCTGTGTAGCTGGAACCAAACTTCTAAGTTTCAATATGTCTACACATGCAGCTGGAATGTTCTTCCTAACAATCTTTTTTGATAAACTTCTATAAAACCATCGATATAACTTCTACTAAACTTCTACTGAAACCATCTATATACAACTTCTATAGGACCATCTATATACAGCCAGGCTACAAGGGAAAAGGTAAAAATATAAAGAAAGGAGTCAGGAAGAGTATATAGGAAACAGATAATGCTTTTTACTATCAAATGGACAATTTAATACTATTATTTGAATAGCTTCACAGAGACCAAATTTATTAAGAAAAGAAAAAGTCTTATTTAACATATTTAAAAATAGTAAAGCATAGTATCTCTTTCCTAACAAAATAATAGATAAAATTATATAAAATATTTTATCATGTGCTATTCAATGTTGAGGATATGTTTCATATTTGACATTTTAATTAGAAGTTCTTGTACAAAATATCGGTAGGAAACTTACCTTTATAAAATCAGACGGTCATTGAAAATATTAAAGACAATTAGTACATCGGATGTACTAGATAAAAGATAATTAAAATTCAATAATTCAACTTGTTCGATGACGAAGGTAAATCGAAATGACAACCCGAGTTTTGACACAAGGCATAAACGACAAATGACGTTTGTGTAGAGATGGTGGTTTCAAAATAACGAAAATGGTTACAACCGTTACTATGTCTGGGTCAAATAACGAAAACGGTTCCAACCGTTACATTCTATAAATTAACACATTTTAACAACATATAACTCGATAACGGAAAAAGATATCGACATGCAGTTTTCATTAGACTTCCTATACGTACTTCAATTTTTTTTTGACATTGTTGTAATTTTCTTGAAAGTACCGAAAATAATTAACTTTTTTGAAACAAAATTGTGTGTTTACTTTAAAAAGAACACCCTATAATTTTTAACGTCTTTGGAAAGACCATTTGTTCTCCTTTTTTAAATGTATACGTTGTAAGCATTTACTCAAGTTTTTAGGGAAACATTTATTTTTTTATGAAACCATGTCAATAACGTCCAAACGTAAAGTTTCATAATTTAATAGCTTATAACTCGATAATAACACAATGTATTGATAAGCGGTTTTCACTAAAATTCTTAGAAATGTTTAAATTTTTATATAACATAGTTGCCAAGTCTCAAACTTCTAAAATTTTCGTAAAAAAATACTTTTTTATATTCAGATTAAGGGTTTATGGCGAATAAAATACTTCGTATTTTTTACGTTTATTTGTCAACCTTTATCCGTAAATCATCATTTGTATGTTTTTTTTTTATTTAATATTCCTGTTTTTCTAAATTGACTTACTCAGCTTTGGATAGAATATGAATGACATAATAAACGATACTAATTTATCAAGGGTGCTATGTAACGCAAATCAAGTTGACGGAAGTGTCATATTTGTATTAAGTGGTGAAAGATATGGAGTGTGGGTACAAGGAAAACTACAAAAAGTGTCCCTTAAAATGTATAAAATTAAGATGGCGTTTCTGTACCAGAGGGACACCGACAGTCAATAATTTATATCACACAATGACATTAATGATGTATATAGTTATATATACAGGGTGGTCCTTAAGTAATTGTACATAGAAGTATGGAAGATTCTTCACTTTAAAATATCACGATTTAAACCAACTTGCTTTAATAGGTGAGTTCGGTCTACGCACTCTTTTCACTATATTCACTCCTAAAGTACCTAAGGCGTTCGGGTACGGAAGGAGTTAAATAAAAGTTCCTCTTTGACCGATCGGAGATCGTGGAGTGGAGTGTGGATCGGGCATGCGCATAAGGTGATTTAAATCGATAATAAGATAATTGTGACTAATTTTTAAGTAAAAATGCTTTTTATTTGATTCCCGTGCATACCATTAATATGGAAGAACCTTATACGGTTGTTACTGATAAGATCGATTAGGTTTTAAGTATTAGTATGTCACATTGACAACAAACATTGAACTCTGAGAGAAAAAACCATATGCGCACTCCGTTTACGCCTACTTACTCCACTCCACTCTGGAGTGCACAGCCCGAACTCACCTAATAAAATGTTGTTAATAAGGAATATACAGGGTGTTAAAGGTTAAATTTTAAGATTTCTTTTTTGCAATAACTTTAACGTTTTTGGATATGTATACATAAAAATTTGGAAATAGAGGTTTTTGGGCACTAAAAATCATAATCTGGTACCTACTTTGATGTAATTTGTAGAGGGCGCTACATAGGCTACAGTTGTGGCATAAATGTGCCTAAATTTTTGCTGTTTAAGTTAGCGGTATTTTTGTAAAATAATATTAAAGCCACGTTATTTTAATAGAAGAAAAGTATACTTGTTATTAACCTTAAAACCTAACGGTCTACGATATAATCGCATTTTAGGGATCAGCTGCATGATTATTATTGAAAACATTAAGAAAACAAATTAAAAAAAAAACTAAGCTAAATATCATTATAACTTTAATTGTGTCACATTAAATCATCTTCGATTCCATAAAAAATCGTCTCATATTAAACAACATCATTGGATCAAAGAAACCCGCTGATCTATTTATTTCTTCTCAAAGTTGGTCGCCGGTATTTATGGGATCCTTATGAACAAGTTGTTTCATTGCACCCCATACACCAAAATCGAGAGGATTCAAGTCTGGACTACGTGCTGGCCTAGAGAAATGGCTACCACGACCAATCCAGCGTTCAGGAAAGTTGTTATTTAAATATGTTTTGACTGCTCTCGTATTATGTGGCGGTGCACCATCTTGCATGAACCACATATTTTGTCTTATAATCAGTGGCAATTCTTCCCAATAGATTAATGAAATCATTTTGCAAAAAATTTAAGTAGTTCTCACCATTCAAATTACGGAGTAACTCGTATGGTCCTAAAAAAATTGTTACCAATGATATCACACCATATGTTAATTTGGAATTTATATTGGAAATGCCTTTCTCATTTACCATGGGGATTTTCAATTGCCCAAAGATGATTGTTCCTTAAATTAAAAATACCACGGCGGGTGAAGGTAGCTTCGTCGGTAAATAATATTCTGTCGACGAAGATGTAATTAAGATTTTGCTTGTTTCGGATAGCACTTGCAAATTGGTATCTTATTGATAGATCTGCTGGCAATAAATTTTGTACCGGAGTAAAATGGTATGGGTGATACTTCTCGAGGTGCAGTCTTTTTAAAATAGAAGTTTTACTAATTTCTAAAGTAACAAATAAATGCCGTATACTAACTTGTGGATCATCTTCAATGCGAACCATTATTTTGTCATCTTTATCAGGCGTAATTATTCTTGGTCGGCCTAAGTTATCACGCTTAGGACGAAACGAACCACTTTCGCCTAAATTCCTAAATAGATTTTTGAATGTTTGATGATTAGGTTGCTGCCTGTCTGGATATTCTCTCAAATTTTCTCGTTTCGCAGCACGCCCATTAAAATTTTGCTGACAGTAAATAGCAACCATATCTCTCATATATGTATTAGAATAATTATAATGCCTCGGCATTTTCTTAAATTTTTTTAAATTAACCAAAATAAATGCAAACTAAATATTACAAGACTGACATAATATTGAAACAAATCGAATGCTTTGCTATCAAAATCATTCATGGCGTCCGCCTACTACGTTAATAGTACCCGAAATTAATAATTATTACTTTGGGAAGAAACAAATAGATCCAATGATGTTTAATATGAGACGATCTTTTATGGAACGTCTAGATAAATGCATCGACGAGAATGGAGGACATATCGAAGATTTAATGTTACGCTATTAAAGTTATAATGTTATTTATATTAGCTTTTTTTTTAATTTGTTTTCTAAATGTTTTCAATAATAATCATGCAGCTTATCCTTGAAATGCGATTATATCGTAAATCGTTGTTTTAAGGTTAATAACAAGTTTACTTTTCTTCTATTAAAATAACGTGGCTTGAATATGCTTTTACAAAAATACGCTTACTTAAATAGCAAAAATTTAGGGCACATTTATGCCACAACTGTAGCCTATGTAGCGCCCTCTATAAATTACATCGAAGTAGGTACCAGATTATGATTTTTTTGTGCCCAAAAACTTCTATTTCCAAATTTTTATGTATACATATCCAAAAACGTTAAAGTTATTGCAAAAAATAAATCTTAAAATTTAACCTTTA